CACTGTCATTAAAAAAAAAGGTGCCTACTTCAGAGGCACGGAGAGGTTATGCAACTTTTCCAAGGTGGCACAGCAAGTGGCAATACTAGAAGCTGAGCCTAGGCTGCCTGGTGTTAGATTTGTTCTTAACTTTGAAGCCAACTTGTCCTGGAGATGATTGTGGAACTCTACACTCTAGGCAGTGAAACTCACAAGGGACTTCTTTCACTCACAAGACAACCTATACAAGAATCAACCCACCATTGTGGTTAGCCCAGATCCCCCAAGAGCTTGGAGCCTTAGCTTCTCCATCTAAAGACACTGAGCAAGGCTTCAAGACATTTTGGGGTGTCCCAAAAGGAAGGAGCATGGAGTGAATAGAGACGAGAAATATGGTTAAACACTGCACAGGACAAATCCCCACAACAAAGAATGATCCAGTCTAAAAAGTCATAATGGCAAGACTGAGAAACCCTGTTCTAAAAAACTCACTAGCAACCATTGCAAGGTGCAAAAACCAACCAGTAGAATATTCCAGGTGATTCTGTGCTTCATCTCAAAAACTCCTCTGATCATTCTTTCTGGGATCTCTGATCATTTCTGTCCTGGGATCTCATGGCAATTCCATCTCTCTCAGGTTCCCGTCTCCTGTCTACACTGAAGAATAATCTCCTGGCACAACTCATACATCTTAGCAGCAGCACAGCAAGAAATAAAACAAAAACAGCAATAAACAAATGAAAAATAAGCATTAAGGTGCAAAATAGATCCTTAAGATTCAAACATATCATCTATATACCCAAAATATCCGTATTTTTTTTTTTTTAGATACCCTGAACCAGTCTGCACCCACATCCAACTCCCTTCTCAGCTGAACACACACACATGAGCATGCTGGATTTCATAAAATGATTTTAATAGAAAAGTACAAGGTATGAACAAAAATAAATAATCTTTATCTCATTTCTAGCCCAGCAAATTGTACACTGCATATAAAAACGGTCCAAGAAACTATTTTCCTCCATTCCTTTTTTTTGCTTTTGAAATATTGAAACAGCATTTTAATTCAATCCTCTAGATTCAAACTGATACATTTAAAAAAATCATACCAACCTTTAATAACATCCATTTTTTCCAAGTTGGCTAACAGGATGATGTTTCCCTATAATAAAATATTATCCAATCATTGACTCTAAGTGTAAAATTTGTGTCAACAGGTAAATTAAAAGATCCCTTTCTAAGTTTTAATTCCTATGCCTCGGAATGTTTCCTGAATTAAAAATTTTATCATCTTACTTTCAAAACACAGCATTGAATTTTTACTATGCTGTAGAGAGAAGGGAGACTAGAAAATACTTATTTTTTAAAAAATAAATATTCTAACATACACTTTACAGTGATAATGCAGTATTGTAGACCTGTGCCTTGGAGTTTATTTGCATTAAATATGCATCAAGTTAAAAGTCCCGTTCTCTCCCTGTCTCTCGATTTATATTATGACTCACTCAGTGTTTGGGGGCTGTTCTGCTATGACCACTTGGGAGTTACCTAATACCAATCTCTTAGTTGAGAACTTATCCTGCTATTAGGTCTTATTTGATAATTCCAGTGGCTTGAGTAGAGTTGTATAAACACAAGTTGAAAATTGACATTGGCAAATCGTTTGAAAAGGGGTTTTGGGAAGATAGACTGCTAACATCTCGGCAGCCTTCCTGATGAACAACCAACGAATGGAGCAGAGAAGCTGGACTGAAAAACAGCAAGCTTGCTTTTCCTTGAGTCCATAACGACCATTTTAAACATGGCTGTTCGCTGCTGCCTGTATATACATTTTTCGTTAATTTTCCTGTATTTGGGAAGATCTTGAAAGCACTCCAGAATGAAAAGAAAAAAGATGCTGACATAGCTACATTGCATATATGTTTTTGCAATAAAGAACACTGGTCAATATACAACTGAGGAAAAACCAAAACAGATGTGACTCCTAGAACCACAAGCGTTTGAATTTGCCCAGAAATGCTATTTTAAACACTCTATATGTTGGTCTACTGTTTTTTTGTGGAATAATGCATTCTTGGCATCCTTAAAAAGTTTCAATATGTTACAAGGTTATCCTAAAAAGAAAAAAAGCAGAGGGCTAATGTATCAGACTGCAAAGCACTGGCCAATTTTCAGTATACATTTTCAGAAAGCACAACTCCTATTAATTGCACTTAACACAATGAACCTTTAGTTTCCAATGAGTTTTCATTCTCTCTGGACTGAGGCTTTCTTTTCATAAGAACTGCCTTTAAAGGGGCACAGAGACACCACACGTGGTCCACAGTAAGTTCAGAGAGATGCTAGAGTTGCAGTGGTAAATGCAAAGATACATTTTCTTTTTCCCGACTAAAAATCTGGTCATGGATAAAAGCTTTTTTGGTTATTCTCTGGGATGTTACAACAGCAACACGCTCTAAAACAATTAAGTTACATGCATAATGCTAAAAGAATGTGAGCAATCCTATAACCAGCTTTAACCATCTGCTTGATTTTTTTTTTTTTGAGGAACATATATAGGAAAAGAGAATCCTCCTTTTGTTCTGTTACATATAGAAATCTTTTGAAGCTTGCAAATAGTTTGGTTTGGGTAAAATTCTCCACTCTTTGATTATTTTAACATGTAGTCATCCTGAGCTATTCTTCATGGCTTCACCAAAAATCTCCACATGAATTATCTGAAGGACAACTGAAACCACTTACCAATATACAAGTAACATTTTATTTTATATTCTATCTTCCATTGGCATAAGCCTTTCGATGTTTGTTTTTTTAAACCAGTGAAATGTACAAATCACACAAGACAGAAATATGTACATGAAAAGTACAGAATAAAAAGCCATAGAAGATATACATAATATCTGAATGATACGTAGAATATTTTACATTAAATAGTTTCTTTTAAAAGCTAGGATTGTTAAACTCAACTCTGTTCATAAACAAGAATCACTAAAAAGGAACACAATCTGATTTAGCAAATAAAAAAAAAGTACTTCATGGTTTTTGTAGAATAAAAACCAAAAAAGTGACGTTTTAAACTAATTAGTGCTTTTTCATTTCAAGATCTTTTGTCCACAATTCACTGCAACTGAGGGGAAGTGAATATCCTTGTGCAATAAGTTAAGAGCCACAACTGGCTGAGGTGATGTGAAGGCCACCAAGCCTAAGAAGGGTATGACAATGTGTCTTTCCAAACCTTTGAAGCAGTGTCAGTCAGTCTGAGACAAGAACACATTTGATGGCACTTTGGGGAAAAAGGTGTCCTTGTTGAAAAAATTGTTAAAGCTAGTTGGTTTTCCTTCGGAACTCAAATCAGTGCCACCAAACCCAACAGGCACAATCCCACTCTGCATAACCACTTAAGCCAAGGGAAACGATGCTCCTGGGTTTTAAGTATCTCTAATGTCTACATCCGTGACGAACAATAATGCCCTCTCCACTGATGACACAGAAAGAAGGGGGGGAGATCCGAGGGGTGGGCAGAAAAGAAAAAGGAAACCTTCAAACCAACATGCATTTCAATGTGTCAGACCGTCCAGTTTCCTCTGAAACAATCTTCTTCGTGCTCAGGGTATGATCCTAGAAGGGCCACACACCAAGCTCAAGACTCAAAACTCTTGGGAAAATCCCAACTGCATTGCAATGAAGGATGACAATACTCTAGACAGAGAAATAAGCCCAGAGTCAAATGTAAATCTAAATCACTGGCTGCACAGAGATATAATTATATTTATATTTATATATGTATATATATATATATGTTATGTACAAAAAACTGAGATATCAGGCACCATTAAACCACCTTCCCTCCCCCCTTATAAATGCAACTGTTCAAGTACACTAGGAACAGTTTTAGGGTACACCTGCAGGATATTAGGAAAAGCAAGAGTGGATAGTCTAAACACAGGATTATAACAGCGACAAGCTGCAACACTTCCGTGGACTCCTTTACCCAAGTATGTCATCAAAACATATGAAATTACTCCGCCTCCAAATACAAGTTTTAGAAAAAAAAAAAAAAAATCCCTAAGTAGTGAACTGTTTTCTGAGCGGAACTCCTCATGTTTCATTTCCTGTCCTATAATCAAAGGGAACCCAGCCGAGCTGCCGTTTGGACGCGTGGCCAGAATCACATTATGGCCCAGGGGGACCAAACGGGACTTGGGGTCAAGTAGGAAGGTGGATTTCACTTTTTTCCTCAAAGAAGTTCTCTGCTCTGGTGCAAAGCTGAACTACTGTGATCGCCTTGTGGTCTGAGCTGAAGGTCTGTGAGTGGAATTCATATATTATTTTCATGATTAACATTCAGGAACTAAATATTCCTAAGAAAATGACAAGATATTTTTCTTTCTATTCAAGCCTATATCCCTCCCCTGAAGAAGAAAAAAAAGAGTCTAATATCCAGAATCATTTCAGGATAACACTTGTCAAATCATAGTCCCGATACAGGAGTTTTCAAATTTTCTAACTTCTAGGGACTTTACCCCTTGCCCCCAAAATTTCATGGGCTCCTAGAATAAGTCCATCTGCAGATGGAATATTTCAGATACACGATATGTCTTTTTCTTTTCTTTGAAGATGAGATTCTTACTCTTAAATTTAAACGATCATTTTGAAAATATAAAAAGCAGGCTGGCACCCCACCAGGAAAGGAGTTCTGGTTTTCTGCATTTTGGCTTTTGTATTTTTTTTTCCAAGACTTTTAATCTTGCACCAGAGCGTGAATGATTTATTTTGGTCCTAAAAGCTGAATCATGCATAGATTTGTGCCACCCTCTTGCAACTGGGTCCTACCCATACCATAGGACTCCATAACTGAGAAGGAAAACATGAATTTCCTGAACCTTCTGGATGTGAAGGCTAATTTGGGTATGCATTATTTCCTCCTTATCCTATACTTATCAGAAGAAGGCTTGCACTACCTTTGCAAAGATCCACAAAATAAATATTTTTCTTGGTTCCCACCCCCCACTATTGCCAAATAATAATTATAATATTAATAATAAACCACAGAGTTCTTAGATGGTAATAGAAAAAAAATATGCTTCTGGTTGCGGTCCTTGGGGAAAAAAATAAAAAATATTTAAAAAGAGAGAGAAGGAGAGAAAGAACCACAATCACTGTACTTTCTATAAATAAGTGGGTCCTGGGAGTGGGGCTGGGTGGCGAGCAGGTGCCCACTATTTGCACACAAACTGGTCCACGATCTCTGTGCACTTCTTGCACTTGACGTAGCAGCACCAGTGGAACTTGCAGTGGCAGCGCTCGGTCTGCACGGTCTTGAACTGGTCGTAGCCACGGCCACAGCACATGAGCTCACAGCCGTCCATGCCCTCCGAGGTCTTGTTGCACAGGCGGCCCTGCGTGCCCAGTGAGCCCGTGCTCTCGTTGCGCACGCAGTAGTCGGGGCTCGGGTCGATGTAGACCAGGTCCTGCGTGGTGGGTGAGTTGAAGCGGCTGTTGACCTGCACCAGCTTGCCCCGGCTGTTGAGCCGCATGGCCGCAGCACTGTCATACTTCTCCTTCAGTGCGTCGCCCACCTTACGGAAGTCTGCCAGCTGCAGCCAACACGTCTTGAGGCTACATGAGCCTGACACCCCATGGCACTTACAGGCCACATCAGCCAGGTTGTACACCGTCTGCAGTGAAACGGGAAGGGTTAGTGCGCAAATTCCTCGAGGACCCAGGATGCAGACATGGCTATGTGCTAAAGCTCTCCTAGATGGAGCCATGTGCCCCAGCTGAATTAGGAGCTGTGTTATTTCCTCTTTATTGTCCTCTACCAGAAGTCTTGCGTTGCCCTCTTTAAAAACTACCAAATAAATACACTCTTAGTTCCTCATCATGATTATCACCAACCACCACACAGTTTTTGAACGGGACCAGGAAAGAAAATTATTCCACTGGTCTCTTCTTTGACAAGGAAGCCTTAGCACAGGGATGTGCCAGCCTCTGAAGGATGGGCTATTATTGCCCCATGTCACAGAGAAGGAAGGGTGGCCCAGAGAAATGAGTTCCTCATTCAACCCCTGGGAAGTGCCGTGAGCAGTGCACAGGGATTTGAATCCAGGCAGTTGGACTCCAAGTCCATGCTCAGTCACTTCCTGTGGGCACCCAGTTGGGAAGTGTTAAGTTGGGAAGGGATCCTGTCCCACTTGGATCTGGGTTCAAACCTTTACCCACTCCTCCGATAATAATTATTCTGTGCCAACCACACACTTTGTGTCCTTACACTCTTATCTCATTAAGCTATCGCCAGCTTTGTAACATGGGTAGGATTAGAAGACAGCACAGTGGCACAGAGAGGGTAGCTGTGCCGTACAGGTCACACAGTCAGAATGTAAGGGTTTTGGGCCTGGATCTTGGATATCCTTGCTCCTTCTTCCTGTACACACCCTCCTCTACATACTCCCCCCACCCCCAGCACACCAAGAGCACACCCTGAAGCCAGGCAGACAAAGATTCTGTTCCTGACTCTGCGCTTGAGTTTAGGCAACCAGCCACACCTTTGTAAGCCTGCTTTTCATCTATGGATGGCACCAACCTCCTAGCACTGTTAGAAGGATGAAAATGAAAGTGAGGAAAACAAAGTGCTTGGCACACCACTCAAGACTCACTCAGTAAATCTGGTCTTTCTCCAGGGTGATGGGGGCATACCATCTGGGCCTTTGCCCAGTCACCTCAGGCCTCCCAGTAGCAGTGCCCACGGGTCTGGCCAGCAGCACTGTGCCCAGCAGTCTGGGAGGTGATGGCTGCCTGTTTATAGTCCCTCCTACCAAATTCCTGATGCCAGCGACCTTCCAGAGTCCACATGGGTGTGGGTGTGCTGGCCCATGCCTATCAAGAACCTGAAGTGGTTTCTTCCTATGGGATTCATAAGAGCTTTCATTTATAAGGGGCCAAAGCTAGGAGCCAGTGGCTCATTTCTATAATCCTAGCTACTTGGGAGGCTGAGATAAGGAAGATCACAGCTCAAGGCCAGTCCAGGCAAATAGTTCTGGAGACCCCATCTCCCAAATAACCAGAGCAAAATGGAACTGGAGGTGTGGTTTAAGCAGTAGAGCACCTGCTTTGTAAGCACAAAGCTCTGAGTTCAAGCTCCAGTCACACCAAAAATAAAAATAAAATAAAAGGGGACAAAGTATTCTCTCTTGGCATGAAGACTTTCAGGTGCTCAGCTAGCCTGAAGAAGGTTTTGCAAACATACTTAACCTCTGCTCCCTCTTGAGGAAAATCAAAATCTAATGCCCCAAGGAAATTCTAATATGATTGCCCGGAACAGCAGCCAGCTTTCCACTCCTTGCCATCCCACCCCCACCATCCTAGAGAAAAGCTATCTTCTATGTAGCCTCACCCACTGAGATCCATACTCAGCTCACTACTCTAGTGATAGAATGTGCCCAAATAAATCTCACTACTTGAAAATGCAGATGTTAAGTGAAATTATGAAGGTGCTTTTCAAGTTCTCTCTTGCCATTTGGAAATCCCTTGACCCTCTCTTGTTGGCTGTCAAGCCCTTTATGATTTCTCTACAGGAGAGAAATATAGAACACCCCAAATATGGCTGAGCATAGGGAGTATGGATGTATCCTTGGATGGGCCCTGGAAGACTCAGCTGCACCTCTATCCTGGAGACATTTCTGCTCAGAGGTGCTGGGCACATCATATGCACAGAGTTGAGTGACACCTTCCTGATGAGGATGGGAGCAAGGTCGTGTAGGCTTCCAGGGAGTATGGGGCAAAGCATTTCCCCAACCACCATCACATGGCCCTATGATAGCCTCAGTAGGGAGAGAGGAGTAGCCCACACACCACAGCAGGGGATGCCTGAGAAAGGCCATGCTTCTTCTGGGACAATTATCTGCCCCACTGGGGCAATACAGGCAAAATTCTTAGTCCTTCCCTGACACTCCCAACAAATATCAAATCAGAGAGGAAAACAAATTATCTGGAATTATCTATATAATCTCTAACTTCTCTGCAGCCTTTACTTCATGATGTTTAATAATTAAGATATCATTTATCAGGCTCTTCCTACACTAAGCTAAAACCTTACACTGAACCAAATGGAATTGTTATTTTGTAGATCAAAAAGAGTCAGGTACTCTGAATTTTGTATAATTCAGCCCAATACATGACTTTATACTTAGTACTCATAATAATCCCAAGTGATGGTCATTGCCATGACACTGACAGACATGGAAATTGTGGAAACTGAGGCTCAGAAACCAAAAGGAACAGACAGAGCTGGCTTTAAACTTACATTTCTCTAATTCTCAAACTTCTAGTTCTTCGCCCCTGAGCTGTGATGCACAAGTTCAGTACAAGTGAACCTAGGCTCAAATTTCAATCCATTAATTTTCTTCCATGGCCACTAAGTGACTCTCTTGGCCTCAGTTTCCCAATCTTTGAAATGAGGGTATGAGGTCAGGGGACTCTAAAGTTCCTTCCAGTGCTCTCTGGTCTACTCTATGATTATCTTCCTTTACCCTCACCCCCAAAATACAGAAGAGTGAAATCTCTGACCAGAAAGTTCCTGGCACCTACCTTGGGTTCTGTGAAAAAATAATGGCCCTGGTTTTCAGTGCTGCCAAAGTTAAGAAAAGTTTTCACCCCTTCATTTTAAAGCAGCCATAAAGTGCCATGTGTTTAACCGCAGGGGGAAAAAGGGTCTTTTTAACTATTGTAGAGTAACTTTTCCTATCCCCACCAGGGGAAGGAAAGAGCAGGGTGGACTGGAGGCTCATGAGGGCTGCAAGATAGTCCCCTCTCTGGGCACTGCTGTGGCTCTGTCTCTTCTCTCCCTAGAGCTGCCCTGTGATTGGCCTGCTGGTCAGACCCCAAAAAAATTCCACACTGCTAAAAATGCTGTCCTTTTCCTAGAAAAGCCCTTTTTAAAAACCCTCCATCCATCAGGCCTGCTATCTAATTGACATAAGGAGGGCAGGAGAAAGAAAGGAGAGAAAGGCAAGGCCCAAAGCTGGGGTGAAGCCCTTCTCAGCGGGGTACCCACCAGAATAAATACTAATTCTCTCTCCCAAATTTAAGCCCAACCACAAACTTGTTCCAGGAAGGAGGGAGAACGTTAACATTTTCATTCGTGAGTTCCACTAGTCAGTAACACTGGGGACTGACTAAAAAAGGCAAAAAAAAGCAAGAGAAAGAGTTTTCTCAGACAACAGCCTGGGGACCTGGGCTGGGGACCCATCAGGGGCATCCTGGGAGGCCTTTGTGGGGTGTACACATCTCTCCAGAGAGGCCAAAGATAATATGGGGGAAGTCAGAATGGGGAGAGATGAAAGCAGCAGGGAAGAGGCAGAGAGCAGGTAGAGGGAAGAGAGAAAAGGAGAGACAGGGACAGTCAGACCTGGGTGGTGGGGAGCAAAAGGACACAGCCAGGACGCAGCACTCACCCTGCGGCCGGCCTCGTTGTTGTGCAAGTTCATGAGGATGCGCGCGCTCTCGTAGGAGCCCTTGGCGTGGATGCGCTCCCGCTCGCGCGCGTCCACGAACTCCTTGGCAAAGCGGTAGCCGTAGTCGATGTTGTCGCCGCAGCCGCCCCACAGCCAGTCCCGCGGCAGGTCCTTGGGGCGTGCGGCGCGGCTGCAGCCACAGGTGGACAGCTCGCCCTCGCGGCAGGCTCGGCTCATGGCGTTCACCACCCCTGCGGCGCTCACCGCGTAAGTGAAGGCCGTCTCGCGGCTGCCTGTGGGCAAGGACAGGGGTCACCGGGTGCCTGCCCCACCCAGAGGCCTGGGCCCTGCTTGGGAGGCCAGAGGGAGCTCCAACACACATCCGTCCTGGATCCTCCTAGGGTGCGCCCCAACACATCCGGCCTGTGCTCCAATGGGAGACTGGGACAAGGAGTCCAGGGGGAACCACTGGCCACCATAGGAGCGTGCTGTCCCCAGGTCCACTGGCAGGGCAGGGTGAGCCCCTGACAGAGCAGCCCTGGGCCCCACTGGGGAAGGCAGAGGGTGCCCCAACACACACCGACCCTGGATCCTCCTGGATAAGGTGACAGAAATAAACCCCAATACCCTACAGCCACTGGATGGGGAAAAGCAGAAGTAAACCTCTGACTATCAGCTAAGGCTGGGCCCCACCCATAATACACCCAGACCTTGGGCCCACCTTGAAGGGAAGCTGAAAGAGATTCCCCCAACATACACAGAAGCAACAAGTAACAAAAGAAAAAGACCCTTGGTATCTGCTCTGACATTTCAGAGCCTAAGGCAGGACTCTGGCAGCCCTGGATTAATTTTCTCTACTGCTCTTTTGAAGATATTCAAAACTTATTTCCAAAAACGCACATGAAAGAAGTCATTGAAGGAAAGCTCAGAATTGGGGTAGACTTCCTTACTGTTGTTCTAATGTCTGGTATCATTTTCATTTTGAGCAGAAACATGGAATTTGCTAGACTTCTAAGCCTCCAAAAGACTTAGCCCCCCACTAATTTTCACCTGGCATCTCACTGCTTCTATGGCTTGTAACCTCTCCTCCCTCCCCATCAGGCAGCAAAAAGTCTGTCTCTGGACAAGGTTTTCTACCGTCCCAGGGCACAATTCTAAACCTGTTCATAGAGAGTTATAAATATTACTTGCTTCTTCTTAAATCCCAGCTTCAAGCTGATTGCTCTGATACTTCTCATTCAAGAATGTGCATTTGCACTATGAAAGAGAAAGGGTTAACACTCAGCCTGCTGAAGTTAGGCCTGGAGGTGGGGAGGGGGGACAGAGAGCCTCCCTTTCCTCAACTATAAGGCTATTAAACTAGATGCCTAGGAGAAAAGGCCCCTCCTGGCACTGAGTGCCCTGTACCAGAAACAGTTTCTGCTGTACTTACTTGGACAGCTTGTGGATAGCACAAGGACAGCTGACAACAGGACCCAGCACCAAGAAGAAAGCTCATTCTACAGGAGCCTGACCACACCAACTCAAATACCCAGCAGACTGCCGATTCCCTGGACCTCTCTGCTCCATACTTCAATCACAGCCATTCGTGATTCCTACCCCCTTTCCAGCAATGGCGATGGTTCTGATTCACCACAGATCCTCCCCTCCCACACTTTAAAATATGAATAACTTGAAAAGTGTGTTGGTGGTTGGCGGGAGGATCCCAAAAGTTCCCGTGGGGCTTTACATCTATCTAGCTCAAATTAGAGAGGCACAGAACATCGGGGGAGTAGAAACAAATGAGGAGACGGGACAGATTCTAGGGAGTTATTTGGGAATTAACACCGATAATACAGAAATGCCGTAGCCCTGGATAGGAGGTTGTGGCTAGAGGAAGAGGAGATAAAATGACCCTCTGAGGACAGAGAGAAATAAGACACTGTCCTTTGAGTACACAGAACATAAAAGGACTTTTATACAAAACACAAGTAATGCTGCTGTTTTCCTAAGTCTATCTTGATCATTTCCTTTTCTTTTGCCCCAGAATACAAACCTGGTAGAAATCTCTAATGGGGGGTGGGGAAGTCAGTGTGAAAAGTGCTCTGTGGTGAGTAGTCTGTGGACCCAGGCATCCTGATTGGAATATTGCTGCTTGAGTTAGGTTTCCGTCTGTGTGAAATCTAAGTCTACTTGGAGCCTCACACCCCTTATAAATGGTACCTTCCTGACATATCTTTTCACGGCATGGAAACAAAGACAAGACGGGGGACAAAAGCTGGAGGGAAAGGGTACCACAATGAAAAATGAGAATGTTTCCAAAGTGAGGAGTGGGCCCTTCATGAGGCAATTGTGCATGGTGCCTCCAAGCAACTGGCACCTTAGAAAAATGAGCTGAGGAGGGGGTCAGAGGTGGTGGCTGACTTTCTCAGACTCAGGCCCTTCACAGGGTCAAATTCTCACAGACAAGAACTGCTCTCAATGTCCCTGGGGCACTAAGCACTTTGAGGTGGCCTGTGAACACCTTTGGGCATCAAAGGTGTTTTCAATCGCCCCTTGGCTCACTCTCTTTGAACAGACCCTGAGGTGGAGTTATTGAAGTTGGGTCCATGCTCCTCTTGCAGAAAATTTTATTCTATTTTTTTTCTGCTCTTTGTCACTTCATTCAAGTAAGTGAGAAAGTGGAGGTGCCATCTATATCCCACTACAAGCCACCAGGCAGCAGCTTTCTGCTCTGAGACAGCAAGTACTTATGGATCTCTGGCCAGGGAGGAGGCAGCCTGTGCTCTTCTCCTCCCTGGGCATCCAGGAGGGTCTCTGTAGGTCATCAGGATGTATTCTTCCCACCCAGGTCCCCTCACCCCAGATGGTCATACCACACAGCCAAAGACCAGAAAGTGTTCTTGAAGGGACAGTTAAATGTAGGCCTTGGCACCAAGAGTTCTGATTGTTCCCTCAGTAAACAGGCTCTTTGAATCTTGGACCACATTTGAAATAAATCTTCAGCAGCACTCAAATTCATAGGACAAATGATAGCTTATTCTGAACACTCTGGACCCAAGCAGGCCGCGTATGAAGATGAGAAGAGGATGTTAAATCAAAGCCATGTTCCAGTGACTATACAGAAAGGCAGATCCAACTGCTACTTCCCTCTGGTTACCATCAGAGGTGTATGATTTTTGCTAACTCATATCACTGTGAAAAATCAGTCTCATAGTTGGAAAGGCAGGCAGTTGAGAAATTTATAAAAAGGGGGAAAGCTTACAACTTACTCTGATAGAGTCTTTAAAGAGCTTTTTGCACAATATCAGAATGCAGGAGAATTAAGTCTCTACCATGTCCCTGGTTATCTACCAGAGACAGTCCATATGCAGGGACCACTCCTGTGTTCCTGAAGCACCATTCCAGCCCCAAAATATACATGAGCACATTTTAATCATTGACAGAAAAGACAATGCCCTATGAAAGCTGGGGCTACATGCCACTCTCCCGTTGGGTTTGGAGGAAAGGTCTGCAGTCCCGTATTATTTTAGTTTATGAAGCCCTTTGGCTTAAACATCCACTGACAACTCCTTTATGTTCTCAATGAATGCATTTTTCAGGGTTTTTAAAAAAGCATTTTAACCACTGGTGATGGATATTAAGCCAACTTTTTATCTCCAGTCAGTATTAACAGTTAATTGCTTTGATAGATTGCTTCTTATTTTCAAAGTCACTGTAGTCATATCAATTATAAATGCTTGTTTGCATAAAACTAAAGAAACCTAAAATATTCACCCTAGAAAACACACATAAGACCCATCTGTCAAATATGGTCTTAGCCTATTAAACCAAACCAGAAGCAAATTGATTTTTTTTCAATTTTTTTTTTTTGCTTTTTGCCCAGTTTTAAATGCTATCTCCTCCATGAATGGAAGAACAAGTTAGACAACATATTTTAAATTAAATATCAGACTGTGAGCAATATACTTAAGCCTTTTTTTTTTTAAGTTCTAGGTTGACAACCCAAACATTTGCTTTTCTGTCAATTGTCAAAAATCACATACATAAATTAGATCATTTCTAATTAAAATGTTTCTGGAACTAAAAATAAAACTTTTAACATATATATAGTTTTAGCCTCAGAAAATATGTATGTTAGGAAAATTACAACCTTGTTCACTTCCAATCTATCCAGCATTCCAAAAGATGACATTCTTTAGTTTGATGCTTAGGCCATCTGAATTGTGTCAAAAGAGTATCTAGGTTCCCCATCTACTAAAAAACCAAATTGTGTTCTGCTCTTCTACTTTGAACAAAATGCATTTTAGAAAAATTAAGTGTTGGGGAAAATAAAGGTAATTTGTGATGCTCCCCTGCTGATTTGGTTAAAGAAGTCTGAAACTTATAATCAGACATGGAGACTGGACTTAACACCATTCTCCATAATGACAAAATCCCCAAAACCACCCGAATTGGAAGGTACACTGTTCGTCACACATTCAACCATGCACTAAAAGATTTTTCTAGGAAAAAAGTTTACATCTATTTTAAGTGGTTTCCTACCTATCTGCATAACCCTGCCAAAGACAGAGGTGTTGTCCACAGTGCTACAGTTCCATCTTCGATGTCGGAACTGATACTGGCATTCTTTGATGCCTGTCTTCGCGCCTTCTCCGATGTACTGCATGTGGTCCTGATACAAATGGCATAGCTTCTTCTGTCCTTGAGAAAGTCCTGCCAGTTGACTGCAGAGAGGCTGCGCTCCTATGATATATACTTCTGACATCTGAACAGGGTTATTCATACCTAGCGACCTGCAAAGGGTGGGGGGAGATGTGCATTCAAGATTTACGTGAACTCTTGAGGTAGGCTCCCCCAAAAGCATGTCAGCAATACATAGTTTTAAGCACACAGATGCTTTTTCTCTCCTGCTTGTCCTCATGACAAAGTATGAGAAGGGCTTCATAAAACTCCTCTGTTTAAACTCCACTCAGAAAACGGTGGTATTGTGTATTTCCCTCCCCGCCATCTGGCTCCTCAGTTAGCCTTTTCACAGCCTCCCTTGCCCCTGTTGCCAGATACCTGAACCACTAGTTTCCAAAATCCACTCCAAAAAGGGGGAAATGATGGTTTCTGGGACCAGGCTCTGACACCAGGGAAAGTGACCCATTTTGCCCCACAAATTGGGCCAATGTGCCTTGAAAACACATGAACGTGGAAGGGAGACACAATTAGATATGGGTAGGAGATAGCAGTTCAACTGTTGGAAGAACAGAGAGACATGTATTCAGACTGAAGAAAAATCACCATGTTTCTGGACACTTTAAAAGGGCTCCTTATGTGATTGTGAAGGACCCAAGGTAGGGTATCCAGTGAACAGAAGTCATGTTTGACAGTCAGAAAAATGCTGTTCATTTACAAGGGGAAAAATATCCAGAATGCCGTCAAAAATAATCCTCTGGATATATTGCAGTTGATCTACAAGGCCCTTCCAGAAAGAAACTCCCATTTAGAGACATTCGCCTACTTCAAATTCCCCTTTTTTGATCAAATTTTAAGTCCAAACTGTACTTGGAGTTCAACTGTCTTCCTACAAATCTCCTCCGTCAGAATGTAAGTTAATAACCATAAGTGACAGAAAATAAAAGTTGAAACTCACTTTTACTATCTAAAGGTGACAAAAAGTAAATTTTATAGTTAGGCTTACAATTATTAGAGTAGTGAATTTCCCTTTTATTACATGATGTACTACGAGCACACGTCAGAACAAGGGCCTCATAGAAAAAGGCCTAGATTTATAGGTTCCGATTCCCAATGGAACTGAAGACACGCTTTGCAATATTAGCAAGTTAAAAGAAAACTCGGATTGAAAAAGATATATACATATATATTAGATAAATGCAGACATTCACTATCCAGCTTTAAACACTGTAACATCACACAAAGAATCTTAAAAAAAAAAAAGAAGAAGAATAGAATGAACTTACCACCAAGAATTGGCTTCTATTACAACCTGGGCGAAGGAGAAAAATATGGCCAAAGCCATTAGGAAGAATTTGGAAGACATTGTACTTCCAGCCGTCCCCAAAGCCACGCCTGGGCTTAATATTCCAATGGACTTCTGGAGAGGGAAGAAAGGAGCAGATGTTTATTGCCTCTCAGTAATTTTCAAGCATACAAGTTTAAACAACGGATGCATCCGGGGTCTCTTAAGTTTACTGTTGATTGACTGCTCTTCTCCGTGAGTTTTTTGATGGCAAGATACAGGCAGTTTCTTTTTCCAAATTAATCCACCCACGCAACCTCACCAGGAAATCTGATTTCGCTGGGATCCTGCGAGCGGGGCACGCCAGCGATTACAAACATGTCTCAGTGCTGTTGAGTCAAAGCCCCGGTGCCAGGCGCTGCCTCCTTCCTGCTTGCTGGAGTCCCGCACCCCCTAGCTCCCCTCTAGTTTGCGCTCGGTCCCTCCTCGGAAATTCACTCGGGAACCCGCCGCCACCCTCGTCCTCTCCCCGACCTGGGCCGAGCAACAAGTGGAGCCAGAATTAATTCCATGGGCGAGAGGAGCGCAAAGGCGAACGCGAGTGGAGCGCGCCACCGCGGCCGCCGGCTGCGGAGCAGGAGGCGGGGTGGTCAGAGCAGGGTGGGGGTGGGGGCAGGACGTGGGAGGGAAGGGCAGGGGTGGGGGCGAGGCCCCGGGGACCAGCGCGCGCGAGTGCCCAGCTGGGAAATGCAGCTCAGAATTAACATCGTATGTTTCATAATCAGTTTACTGGCCGATTTGGGAAAGCCACTTCCAGATGGGAAGAGCAGCCTGGGTTTCCTTTAGGACGCTCTTCAACCAGATTGGGGCGGGGAGATGGAGATGGGGGACCTGGGGGATAACGGAAAGAGAGGTCTGTTCTCCCAACCAAGAGAACCGGAAAAGAGTGCCCCCCTCCCGCTTGCGGCCTCCTGCTCCAACTGAGAGAAGGAAGGGATGGAACACCAGGGGATACTGGGGTCTGGCTCCCGTTTTGGGAGAGGATTCTTTCCCTGATCTCCCCACAATCTCCCCCAAATTCGGATTTTTTCTCTCTTCCTTCTGCCCCTACACCCCGCAGCTGCCACAGAAGTTGGGGATCGGAAGCCCAGAAGGCCTTGAGTTTCTTTTGGTTCTGGTCTAGGGTTGTCGGCCACTTCGCCATCGCCCTGAAACACTGCCATCCCGCCTGCTTCCAGCCTAGCCTCTCCAGCCCAACTCAGACTCAGTTCGGTCAGTTCCAAAGGCAGGGGCTCGGGGCGAGGCCAGGGCCGTGGTAGATGAGTCCCCAGCAGAGCCAGAGATGAGCTGGCTGCGGAGTAGCAGTTGTGCCCCTGGACTCCAGGGCGCAGGGGGCCGGGCGCGAAGGTTCCCTTTTCCTGAAGAATTTCGGGGACAGACGGCCTTGGAAGCTTCCGCTGCCGTTCCTCCCCACTGGTGACTTCTCCACCTGTAGGCGGCGGCGGAGCGAGGCGAGTGCGAGTGGGAGGAGCAGGTTTCCAAAATCCCCTTTCACAGCTCTGATAAGTGTAACTCAGCAGAGCCGCCCGCCCGCAGCCCCAGAGGGAGCCCCTTTCTCGGGAAAGGAAAGAAAGGTGAGCCACCTCCAGGCGGCGGAAGGGCCCCGCCAGGAGCCTGCCCCGTAAAAATTTGCAGAAGACCCTGGCAGAGGTGGAAACGCTAAGGGGCTTTGGAGCGTGCCGCGGCTTTCCCCCGCGAGCCGCCCCTTTGCCCCGACACCTCTGGGCTTCACCGAGAGGAAATGCTTATGTGGTCCCCAGCGTCTGCTAACCGGGGCTCCGTGCCTCAGGCCCAGTCCACCCCCAAAGCACCGCAAAGCTGGGGGCGCATCCTGGAGAATGGAAATCTGGGGTTTCCCCAGCCTAGGAGAGAGAAGGCTCATACTCCCTCCCTACCCCCGCCCGAAGTGTCAAGTTTCCTCCAGGGGAGGGGTGAGCTGCGCGGTCTGCTTTCGCGCGCGGCCGGGGTTGCAAAATCGACTGTCTCCCACGGCGGCCGAAGCCGCGCGCAAACACACTCACCCTTACGCACATTTACACACATACGCGTTCACAAACACACGCGTTCCGCCGTGTTTCGGAGTCCGCTCCCAGATCTCTATCGGCCGCGCGCACTTTTCTAACTTCGCCGGGTGCAGGGCGCGCGGGGCGGGGCGCGGGCAGCGGAGAAATTGATAACAGATTCGGAGGATTACAGCGAATCTCTTTGTTAGAGCCGAAGCCACACAAACCGAACCCACTCCTGGCCCGACGCTCCGGGGCGAGTCCACTAGATCCCAGAACAGGGGCCAATTGGGAGTGGAGCCATTCCGTTTCCTCCACTTGGGTCTCCCCAGCTCCAGGGTACCAGCAGGCGGGGGTGTCCCAATGGGATCGGACAGGAGAGCGCTCGAGTAGCATCTCCACTTAACCCCAAGCGCTCGCCCGGAAACACCTTGGCCTTCTTCCCGCTCCAATCCCGTTGCAACTCAGAAAAGGCCCCACAAGTTTGAGAGGCTCAAGGAACCCACAACGAACTCGGTAGTAAATACATCCACTCTGTAGGGTAAAGCGTCTGCATCTGTTTATCAAAAGATCTGATCCGAAAAGACAGTACGAAACGAGACCTCTCGGGAGACTGTCATACCAGCAGTAAAACCAAAGTTCTGGTCAGAAGCTGAGTTTCCCAAAGAATGAGCTAAATGTTTTCCAACAAGGGCCCAGGGAAACTGACTCTGGAAGGACCCTAGAAATCGGCTCCCCCCGTGCATGCAGAGGGCTGGGGGCTTTTGAGAAGTTCAGCACAAGGTTGGAATAAGGTAAAAAAAAAAAAAAAAAAAAAGAGGGTGTTAGTGTGCCCAAATCTAGAGCAGCTCGATCGCGTGGTTCCCGCTTATGTGTCTCCCCTAAGCCTTCGGGTTGGATTAAAGATGTCAACTGCGGTGCAGGACAGAGGCAATGAGGTAAGGGAGAGGGAAACCTGACGAGGAAACGGAAAACTGATCAGAGGACATTCCGCGGTCTCGGAGAGCTGCCGGACGCACGTGCAAACCTGCCCAGCACCCAAGAGCAAAGCAGGAGGTCCCTTAAGAGAAAGGACGAAAAGCCTGGACAAGTATCCTCCGCCGGCCACTGGCCCTGCCATACCGTCTGGGTATCCCTTTCTACTAGATTCTACATCTAGGGCCCAAGTCTGGGAGTGGAAATGCTTTGGGATGCCAACTAGGCGGAAGAAGGGAGTTTGACCCTGGCTCGCGTTGGCGAAAAGGAAGATGGGAAACTCCAAGAAGAATCTCCGCTCATGCTGGAAACTAAACTGTGTTCCCCAGTCTGATACCTTCCTAAAGCAATGAGAGATGGAGAAACTTGCAGGAGAAAAACTCGGTTGCAGTCACAAACTTGGGATGTCTGCCCCGAGGAACGCAGAGAGGACACGATGAAAAAAACGGAACGGCCAACGCCAGTAAGGAGGTCCGCTTTTGGGGGAGCAGACAAAGAAGCCATTGCTCCCCAAGCCTGGAGCCTGGGTGCAGGGTAGCAATGGCCGCCCTATGCCTCAGGTATCTGTGTCCATCACGCCGTGTGTGCACGCGTGCAGCAGGGGAAGAAACAGCGGAAAGAGAAGGCGGAGGTTGCTCCTGGAGCAGAATCAGTGCAAGAACTTTAACAGCCTCTGACCTGCCGGCCTCAGAACGAAGGAGGGAGGTCTCGGAACCGGTAGGCTCCTGAGAATAATGGTCTGACCTGGTTCTCCTCTTTCCTGCCCTTGTCATCCCCTCCACAGGGCTCTTCACATACATACACACCACTCAACACACACACACACACACACACACACACACACACACCCCACTTAAACTTTCTCACGCGGTACATCTAACTCTCGGCACAGGGCACAAGCTCAACTCTGTCCAGAGTTAAGCAGTGTCCGTAGGAAGAGGGACTGATCTTTACTTGACCAGTCCACCCCCAACGTTTTAATAGACAAGAGAGGGAAAGCAACACGTCTCCACGACCACAGAGAATTGGTGAGACAAGAGGCCATACCTGAAGCCTCCTAGGGCTACAGTCTCCCTAGGACCAGAAGGGGAACCAACCCTTCTTCCAGTTGCCCAAGCCCCCTTTGGCCTTGGTTAGACACATGGCTCCTTCTCTATTGCAGCGGCCACTCCATAAAGCTCGTCCTTGGGGGGTGGGGGAGGCGATGGAGTCAGAGGGGCCATGCTGGGAAAATGGGGCCGAATGGTCGGAGGGATGAGGGGGAGCAAAGGTGGGAGTGAAGGCATAGCAGCCGCCGGACCGACCGCCCGATGGAAGGGAGATCGGAAGCGTCCTACCTGCAGATGGCCAACAGGGGGCAGCCGGCACCGCACAGCGGGGAGGAAAAGGCAGCGGTACCGCTCCGAGTTGTGCGCGCACAGTGCTAACCCCTTGTGCACCGCAGCGCTGGGGAGGGGAGGAGAAGACTAGAGACACAGGCGGGGCCTCCTCAGGAAGGTCTTCCCTTGATGGGGGTCTAAGGGAGGGTGACCAAAGCTAGTATGTCCAAGACTTGAGAACTGATGCTGCTCCCCCCGCACCCCACGCAGGACAAGGATCCCCACGAGCCAACACACAGCCCACTTTCCACCGACCCCCCTTTCCACCGCCCCCCGCCCCCCGCCCCAGTCGCTGCGCGCGGCTCACGGCCTAAAAAACCCCCTAATAGAGACTGGCTGGTTCAGCAGAGAATGTGCGAATGTTGGTGGAAAGGCAGAGACCAGAAGGTGCGATCTCAACGCAGGACCCAAGTTACTTCTAAACAGCGAGTTGTCCATTTAAAGAAAAACCGGAGAGTAGTCCTGGTGCCAGACGAGGAATGGAAAGCAAAATAGGGTCGTGGGGTCTCCAGGACTTTTTTTTTTTTTTTTTGAGAGGGGTTCTTTGCTTTTAGGAAACATCTTAATTTCAAATCTAACTTTATTTTCTAGGAAACTGAAAACGGAAAAGACCCAGAAAAATGCAAATAAGGTCTTAACTTAGAGGGAAAGTTGTTTGGAAAATAGCGAGTTATATGGTAAGGAGAAACGTTAACTTTTGGTAAAAGTGAACTCTCGGTGACCCTCGGAGTGTGTGACTCGGCTTTAACATACAACTGACAATTAAAACAAACACGAGTTCACAAACTGGCCCCCGCCCGCTCTCCCAACGCGGAGGCCCAAGTGTTTGTAAAGAACAAGGCAGACTCCGCTCAGGGGGTCGGGGCGCACTCTCTCCCAGCCGTCAGGATTACAGCCACCAAGACCACTACTCCCCGCCCCCACCGCCGCTGCAAAGTGCCGGAGCTCACCCAGTGGCGGCTAATAATGCTAATAACGCAACCCTGCTCCCCGCGCCGGGGTGCGCGCTGGCCCCACGCCAGGCACTCTTAAAGGCACAGGGGCCTGTAACGCTCGGGTTACTCTGCTGGGACGAGCCTGCAACCTGGCTTCGGTCGTGGGGTGGGGGTGGGGAGTACGTTGCTCTGGGGTAGCTGGTCCCGCTGCTGTGTCTCCTAACCAGAGTCCCTTTCCTTTTTCCAAGCGCCGGCCGCACAACCCTCCCGGTGCCAGCGCAGTGGGTGCTTGATAAATATTTGTTGAAGTGAATCATTATCCCATTGCTGAAATACACGAAGTAAATTACACTCGAGATTCTTAAGGTAAAAGGAAAGTCGTCCATGAACCGAATTCAGTGTTTTGCCATCGCTCTTTCTCACTTTTTCTCCAGAGTTGAAAAAGGTTTGCAGAATAGTTGGTGCGACGAGAAGTCTCCAGAGACGTAGAGGCCGTGCACCAGGGTGTAGAGGGTCGAAGAGTTTGGAGTCCCTGCCAGCGAAGCTGGAGTTTAGCTTTCTCGAGGCAGTTGGAGAAATGGAGGGATAGGAAGAGATGGAGGGAAGTCAGTTAACTTCCAAAAAAAAAAAAGCAGTGGCGAGCGTCGGCGGCGCACTGAACACCTACCTTCATGGCGAGGGGGAGGGGGTGCGCGGGGAGGAAGTCGCCACCCGAGCGAGGGCCGCCAAGGAATCCAAGCGGAGCGGCCGGGTTAAGCCTGGGGGGACGATCGGGAGCAGGGCTGCGGAGTCCTGGGCGCGTCGGGTGGGCGCAGTGAACCGGATCCGAAGCGGGCACTGACGCCCAGGCCTGGGCGCCCGATCTGGGGTAGCGCTGAGATGCGCCCAGGAACCGAGGGGGCGCCGACGCGCGCGGGCGGGCAGCGAGGGCAGGGCAGCGCAGCGCCGGGACGCAGTGAAAGAGCCGCGGGTCCGGCGAGGGCGCGCAGGCGACTGTTTCGCGGCGAGGCGCTCCCTCTCCAACGTCCATCAGCAACGGCGGTAATTAGGGCTTTCCAACCCCAAATGTGGGCGTGATTGTGCAAAAGACTTTACAACAAATAATAAAAAAAAAAAATTCTTCACAAGAGGGTGAAAAAAATGCCCCACTACTCAACTGTGGCCCGAGGCAGGGAAAGGGGGGGGCGATCTCTACTCCCAGGTGCCCCCAGTTCATTCACACCACGGATTCTGCAAACTCCTGGTGGCTCACGCCTCCTGATCTCCAGCTCCTCCTCTACGGGTATGTGGCCGAAACGTTTGCTTCCAGGGGCTGATCCTGCTGCAGGGTTAGTGTGTGGACGTCTGTGTACACACAGACACACACACACAGACACACACACACACTACAGCTTTGGGGCCACAGAACAATCAGGCGCGCATGGCCTTTTCTCCGGGAGATACCGCTGAAAACGCACAAGTCGCCATCAGAGCTGCAAGAGTCAGCGCCAAATTTTGTCCTTTCATTTTTAGGAGCTGGCAAAAATGGGGTGCAAAATGGGTGCAAGTAGGTCCCGAACTTTCTGTCGCGCGGTGGGTTGAGGGGAGGGGAGACTTTGGCTTCCCCCTTCTCACCCCGTTCTTTCTCTCTCCTGGTTAATCTCCCTCTTTTCCCCGCCTTTCCAGGTCGAAGGGCGAAGCGAAGCGAGGGCACCGCGGGCGCGGGGCTGGGGAGCAGCGAGAGCCCAGGGCTCCGCCGCGGCGTAATCTCAGCTCCGGAGGTCCATGGCCGGCGAAGCTGCCCACCTCCTCATTCGGTGCCTGGGTCCCAGGGGCGGGAGTGAGCAGGCGGGCGGCGGGCGGTCCGGGACACAGTGGTGGCGGCGGCGGAAGGAGCTCGCTGGGCAGCGGCCCCACGGATCCGGACTCTGGGTGGCGGAGGCGGTGCCTTGGAGCCTGCAGCAGCTTTCCACGCGATCCTGTGCCCCGCAGACTGACTGACCGACCGCGGGGACCGCGTCCCCCCCCACCCCCACCCCCCCAGCCCTCTTGGCCAACTGCCTCACTTTCTCCCTCCCTCTCTCCGGACTCCTCTTTCCCCTGGTGTTCTCAGGAAAAAAAAAATTAAGTTGCAGAACCAAAGGCAGCTAGAAACAGAGAAGGGAGTTTAAAAAAAAAAAAAAAAAGGAAAAGAAAAAAGAAAGAAAAAAAAAAAAAAACCCTAAACTTTGCCTATGCGCATGCGTGGTGAGGCCGGCCTATGACAAACTCCGCAGGATTTTAAAGCCGTACTACGGGCTGGGGTGCCGGGAGGCGGGGTACACCCACTTTGGGCCCCCTTCTCTAGGTTTCCCATCCCCCAGGCATCTGCTGAAAGAGTGAGGTCCACTCCGCAGCCGCTACCTCCCGCCGCCTGGCTGTCTGCGCTTCTCCCAGTGCCTCGGATCCGCAAGAGAATGAACCCCAGCTTTCGGGACTGGACCCCTTGGCTCGCCTATCCCAGATCCCTCCCACTGGGGCTCTACAGAGAGTAACGCCCTGACGTGTAACCTCATGAAGGACCTTTTCCCCCTTACCACTGGTGGAGGGCACCTAAGCCCCGGGCCCGGAGGATAGGGTGGGCCAGCACATCCTGCGGAGCCCCGGGTGTAGCAGGGGTTTGGTAGGCACGCTCGCTCCTTTGGCTGCGACCCAGCCCAGTCGGGCGCAACGCGTGGTCCTGCCGCGCGAGTCTAGGCGGCTGCTCTCAGGTGAGAAGACTGCGAAGTTCAGCCAAACCGGGTTCCGGGCTCCGGAACTTCTAGACACTTGTAAGATGCTCGCAGTTTTTGGGACTCTAGTGGGGGGTGGGGGTAATGTGCACCACCCCCTAGCACGCTAGGGGCGCCACCCCCAATCAGTGCCTCGCACTGCAGCCCAAATCATGTTCTCAGTAGTTCTCAGCCTTCAATGGTCAAAGGTGGAACACACACACACACACACACACACACACACACACACACAGACGAATCCATTTCCATCATCCATCAGCATGCACTTGGCCATAAGGCGCAAAATCTGTGGTCTAGGTACTTTGGGGTGGTGGCTGTTTTGGTTTGTTCCTCCTGTCCCCACCCTCACCTCCACCCCCAACCCATGCAGACCACCCTAGGGCGCGCATAGGCGGAGGCTCCAGCATTGTCCTCCAGCCCTCAGCACCTTCTGCCCAGCACTTACTGGACGCCTCCCCACTTTTGGCTTCCTTTGCCTGGAGCGCAAAAAAAAAACGGCTTCGTGAGCTTTCCACAAATTGTGAGAGATCTATGCCCCTGGGAGATCTATGCAGGGTAACCTGCATGACTTTCTTTTGCCAAGGGCGCCTTAAGGAGTGAGAGCATGAGGGTCTCAAAACTCCCCCTTGGGACTCCTGCATCTCTTTTCTTCTAACCCTCTGTAGGCTTTAGCCACTTAGCAACTCGTGGACAGTTTACAATTTTTTTATATAGCTTGAGATCTACCCACTGGAGATAGAGGGATTAAAAAAAGAGGGGACTCTGAACCTGGCCAATGGCCCCCAGGTGGTGTCCTTCTGCCCTAGTCTCAGCCCTCAGCTCTTCTGGCAAGTGGCCACAACCTGAAATTCCCCTAGCTACTGGAATCCTGATGGCTCTGCCTTGTGGTACAGATCTCCAGGACCCAGTTCACCTGTGGCAGTGAACAGGAGTAAGTAGCTATGAATGGAGCTCCAAAGAAGCCACAGAGCGCCTGCCCTAGTCCTTTGGTGTCCAGACCAGTTTGCACATGAAATGATTTTATAAAGAGCAGGAGCCTTAACCTGAGAATTGACTCCACCTATACAATAGGTCCAGAAACACTGGCTACCCAACCATGAATTTTTTTTCATTGCTGTTTTCTGAGTTATCTGGATAATTGACTGCTCCTGTCCCATTGCCTCTGCATGTTACACACAATCCCAACAGTTCTGTTCCTTGCTCTGCACTATCCCTTAGCAGCCGATGGTGTTGGGTAGTATTTAAGAGTGCCAACTCTGGAGCTTGGAGTTACAATCCCTGCCTGGCCACTTTTGAGTTATGAAAATTTAGTGGAGTTCCTAAGGCCATTCAGCACCTCAGAATCCTCTTAAACACAGACACATGACAATGAACAGAAATAGCATGGGGTACTATGCTGGTAGGAGTGCACTGCAAATGAAATAGGATGACCTTGAAAATTAGAGAGTGGTGAGAATACACCATGATGACTATGAACACACTGAACCTGGATCAGGCACTCTTCTGACACTGGATATTTGCTCTTCTAGAAAGAGCAGCTCTGAAACAGTTTTTCAAACCCCTGTAATGATAAAGCTGAACCTCGCTTGACAAGACCACTTACTGTCCTGATTTGTTCCACTTGTGGTGAATGTTCATACTTTTTCACTGGAGAAATATGAACAAATTTGATGACTGGGTACTTCACCAGACACCACTGGCACTGTCTGCAAAGCAAGAGTCATGTACCTTACTTTATCTTTCAAAATTTTTTCAAAATTGTCAACAAGCCTATATGGTTCCAAGGACTTCAGAGAAAGGGATGTAAATTTTATCTGATGATATTAGTCATGGGTATGCTGAGCTGATGCCTCATGAGCTCTAAGCTCCTTGTCAGCAAGACCTCAATTATGTTTCCTATGGCTGTGACCCTGGTAATCAGAACTGTGTTGGCACTTGGGAGGTGCTCAATAAGGACCAAATGAATGGATGAAAGAATTATTTCGCAGAATGATGTCAAGGGGAACCAACTGGAAATTCCCTTTTTAGCCTTCAATGGAGGGTAAGTGGGCTGAAAGCAGGACTTAGCTGTAAGCACCAGTTCCACTGGGCATGTGGATTGACTTGGGAGATGAGCAGACAGTGGACAGTTGGAAGGGGAGAAATCCATGTTTCTCCATCTGCAAAGTTTCGTGACAGACAGCTCTCCAGTGCATGGAATTCTGTCTCTCCTGGCAAACTGTACCTGCACCTCAGCGTGTGCTCTCAGATTGAGTCATCCAAAGACACACTGGCAAAGCACCACCATGCTCCTCTCATTAAAAATGCTTTGGAGTCTGAGGAACAAATAAATCAATATTTTTGGCTGCTTTCCCAACAGAGTTGTTTCACAAAGCAGAGTGCAAGATAAGGAATTTAGGAACCGATTGCATCCCTGGGCTGCCTTTCCCAGCAGGAGAAAGCAGGGCCTGGGTTGTCATTCTGGGAAAATCTACCCTCCTTTTTATGCCCGGCAAATAATGTTTTATGGCCCTGGGTTTATGGTAGTGTTTTAATGATCTGCTATAGAAAGCGGTTTTCTCTCCAGTCACTAGAATTTGTCAAGAAGGGCTGGAGGCTATAAAAGGGGGATGGGCCCCAGGGACAAACAGGCTCCATCTTCTGAAATAAACTAATAAAGAGCCCCAAGATGTTTACTCCTTCACCTCAGAGTCAAGACCAGCAGGGAGGGCTGTGTGAGAGGCCCACAGATGGAGCACTAAACAGGACAAAGAGGCCGGAAGGGGGTCGGGGGCTTCCTCACTGCCACATGGCCACAGTCAAAGTAATCCCATCACATTATGCTGCCAGTGGCCTCTGGGGGACAAAGGCTGTCTTGAGGTTAGAGGACATTTTTGGGCAGACTTGAGAAGGCTCCTTAAGAATCTCAGTGTGCTGGGCCTGAGCTAACTGAGAAGCCCCCTTTAGTTTTAGACTCAGGGGTGCATTTTGAGGGGCCTGAATGAAGCTTTGTCCAGGCATCCTTTGCTGCTTATTGTTTGGTTTTTGTTTCATTTAGTTTTAATGGATACCAGATAGACATGAATTTGTATCTTAGCTCTGGCTCTTGCTGGCTGAGTGACTCTATAGCAGTCACTTGCCCCTTTGAGCCTTTCTTCCTATAAGGTAAAAATAAGAAACAGATGAAGCTTGTCTCAACAATGGAGATGCTAAGTCCAGCCCTTGCCCCTGGTGACAGCTCATGACGGCAGCTGCTGTGATTACTTCAGAACTAGAGATGTCTGTTGCTGGGTCCTTGCATGAAATCCCAAGACACAAGCAGCTTGAGGAGGGTGGGGAAGGGGTGCAGGATTCAACGAGGATGAGGCAGAAAAGTGCTGAGATAATAGTGATTTTTAATAATAATAATTGGTGTTAACATTTACCCAGCACTTTCTAGGTACCAGAATCCAACATTGTCTAACCTCTTTACATCCATCGCCTGTTTCATCCTGAGTCATAAGACAGATCTTATTACTATCTGCATTTTAAGGAGAAAAGGGAAAGTTCAAGGAGGTCACAATTTCTATAAGTCCAAGCTGCTGT